CCCTCGGCCACGGCTCAGCACCCAGGTCTCTGCTGGGCCCTCCCTCCCCCTCGGCCACGGCTCACAGCACCCAGCACCCAGGTCCCTCCCCCTCGGCCACGGCTCAGCACCCAGGTCTCTGCTCGGCCCTCCCTCCCCCTCAGCCACGGCTCACAGCACCGCGGGCAGGTGGCACTCAGCACCCAGGCCCCGCTGGTCCTTCTCCCCTCCCCCCACCCCTCCGTCAGGGAGGTCCCACTGGAAGCTGGAAGCTGGCTCCGCCCGCGCTGGCCTTTAGTGGACTGTGATGGAGAGGCCCCGCCAGGGAGAGGGAAGGTGGACCTAACGCCGCCACCGCCCACCACCCGCCTGCCCACGGGCACACGTCCCCCGGCTTCGCTTCCCCATCTGGGCGGCTGCGGGGTCCCTCCCTCCGAGGGGCGGGTCCGAGTGGCCGGGTGTGAAAGTACAGTGACACCTGCCACCTCCACCTGGGTGTTCGGGTCTCAGGGGTACGTGCTCTCACAGCCGCACAGCCGCCACCTCCGTACACCCAGAACTCCTCATCTGTGAAACTGAGCTCTGCTGTGGACGGAAACGGGGTTCTGGGGAGAGTTACCTCCCGGTGACGGGCAGGCCCCAGTGTGCGGCCATGGCCCCGGCACATGACTGCTTTCGTGGAAGGTCTGTCTGCCTTGAGCCAGCCTCTCTGAAATAAATATATAAATAATAGAGGTCCGGTGCACAAAATCCGTGCACTTGGGGGGTGGTCCCTCAGCTGGGCCTGAGCCCTCTCGAAGTCCGGGAGCCCTCGGGGGGGATGTCTGACTGAGGGCCTAAGCCGGCAGTCAGACATCCTTAGCGCTACGGAGGAGGCAGGAGAGGCTCCCACCATTGCTGCTGCGCTCACCAGTGGTGATCCTGGCTTCTGGCTGAGCGGCACTGGCGCACTGATCACCAGAGGGCAGCTCCTGCACTGAGCGTCTGCCCCCTGGTGGTCAGTGCGCATCATAGCGACCAGTCGTTCTGCCATTCGGTCGATTTGCATATTAGCCTTTTATTAAAGGCGACCTCAGGTGACCTCCACTTAATTCAGTGGCAGGCGCCTCCTGGGGAAGCTCTGAAACAGGCCTGG